TTATTGGGTTGTGGACTTAGCCCCTCACACGTATGTGTAGTTTCACCGAACTGGGTAAACAATTGATTGTGTTTTTTTATTACTTTCCTGCTCCATCATTAATTACTTGTTTGTGATGTGGTTCTAATGTATCTTGTTGAAGTATCGAGTTCGACATCTGTCCCCTGAGAAACAAAAATTTAATTGGCATTAGATCATGCACCCTAGCATGTTGCCAGAGCTCCAAGGAAGATAAATTCTGCTCAAATTGAAACAATTAAAGACGAAGGGTCAGTTAACAAACCACCTATTTTGGATGGCACAAACTATGATTATTAGAAGGGTGATGGTGGTGGATTTTATCAAATCCTTGGGAAAACAAAGCATGGAAAACTATGATCAAAGGATGGAAACATCCAATGATTACCTCCAAAGATGGTACGATCAACCTAAAACCAAAGGCTGATTGGAGTGATGCTGAATACCAAGGTAGAATCATACACACTAAAAATATATTAGAAAACTCTCATATCTCATTAAAAACACCTGAAAATGTTTTTAAGGACTAACCAACTTATTAGAGGATTGTCTGATCAATTATATGACTTTTTACAGCTAGATAATCAATTAGACCTAATAATCTAATCGATTAATTTTTCTATTTTAAGTCTAAAATCAATTGAGATAGTCTCTTAATGATTGATAACAACTAAATATCAAAACCTTCTATTTGTGGCTTGAATAACCGATTATTGATGGTCAATAATTGATTGGCTTATCAATTATGGCTTTCATTTCGTCCATGGATTATTTCTAAAGTTCTCAAAATTAGTGGCAAGAATAAGTCTTAGGGACATGAGTATGCCAGTTTAGGTCGAACCTGTATAAATACACGGTCTCTCTCTCTCTCTCTCTCTCTCTCTCTCTCTCTCTCTCTCTCTCTCTCTCTCTCTCTCTCTCTCTCTCTCTCTCTCTCTCTCTCTCTCTCTCTCTCTCTCTCTCTCTCTCTCTCTCTTCTTTAGTTTATTGTCTTTCTGTTGGTTTTCTATCCATCTTTTTATTCCACTACATATTTATAAAATGTTTTCAAACTTAGATTTTTCAAATGATTTTGTTTACAATCAATGTTTTTCAAACCTCTACAATTCACCCTTCATCTTATGTATGAAGTCATATGTTCAACACAAGTCACTGACTGTCAGATGTGAGAGGTATTTAAGTTAAAAATTTGAGTGTACCTTGATTAAACATATCTCAAAGCACAATTTGTTGTGCTATTTTCAATTATTTACTCAAATAAAGTGCTTTCTTAAAACAAATATAACTCATCCAAGCTTGTTTTTGGGATCCTTAAACATTCTTTTGATTTACCGTTATGAGTAGGTTATTTTGTCTCTTGATGTTATTATAGTATACCAGAATGACCATCTCTTTGATTTATTGAGCTTCGTACCTTTGGGTTTCAAATCTCTTGGACCGTGACAATGGTTACGAACGGGTAGAAGCAGTAAGTTACCTTGCTAATAATGTTAAGACTTAAATAGTTTTGTGATCCTTGTAAGTTAGCGTGTTTTTGAATTTAGTTTTTGAATTTAGTTTTTGTATCTTTTTTTGGACTGAGTCTCTATATCTCATTTTTGCAATGTTTTAAAAACCGGACCAGTCATCGAACCTGTGAGAGTATTGAGTCACTGGTTTATCGGTTGAACCACTGGGTCACTAGTTGAACCGCATGATTAAACCGGATAACTCGGTTGAATATACCTGTCATCATAACAAAATCATATAGGTATAAAACCGGTTGAACCGAATAATTCAGTCTCTAAAAAAATATAACTAGCACTTAATTTTTTTGAAAATATCATATCATAAATTCTCAAGTTCATAATTTAAATTCAAATTTTAAACATAAGTATCAAATACAATATAATAGTACAAAATTATAAAGTCTAATTGCAAATAAAGTTTAATTGCAACATAATATAATTGAATAATTTGTAACAAAATAACTCCAATGTCTACTTAAGTTTAGTTCCAAGGAGGTAAAATTATTTCAAAACAATGATAACAAAAAAAATATTTTTTTTAAAAATTTTTATAACTCAAAATGACATTGTTTGCATTTAAATTTTAATAAAAACAAACATTAGAACCGCCGGTTTACAGAAACCGCCGGTTTTTCAGTTTTTCTCGGTCCAACCCGATTTGCACCGGTTTTGATCGGTTTGATGACAAAGGCGATCCAATTATTGAACCAGACCGGTTACTAGCCCGACTCCCGGTTCAACCGGTCCAGGTTTTACAACTATGCATTTTTGTGTTGCTTTTAGTCTTTGTCGTTACACTTTCTGTTACATAAAAATTGATTGGACAGGTGGTGCTGACGTGGAACTGCTGCTGTGGTTAACAACCCTGACGTGATAGGCTTCTTTTTCTTTTTCCATTTTTTAATACCAACATTTTCAAGTAGGATAATTAATTATTTAATATTTGAGTGTTAAAAAAGAAATGCAAAATCTTTTAAAAAAATGATTCTATTGAGTTTCGAATTCTCCTAATATTTTGATTACAACAACTTTCTAGCAAACCAATCGCATTTTAAGCCTTTAACATCAACATAAAAAATAAAAATAAAATAAACTTTGCATTTTAAGCCTTTAACAACATAAAAAATAGTAAAAGAAAATGCTGACATGGAATTAAAAAAAAAGAAAAACAAAAAAAACACACACTACCACATCAGCATTAGGAATCACATCAATAATTCCACGTCATCATCATTAGTCCAGCCGGTTTTCTTAACCGATTTTTGACGTCAATAACTATTGGCAACACAGATTTTTGACTTCAGAAACTAAAAGCAACACTTGCTAACTTACATGAAGAAAACTATTTAAGCCAATTTTTAATAAAGATATAATGGAAGTTTTTTATAGTAACATTTAAATGTTTTTATCTAGAAAAAGTAATGCCTTTTTTCTTGAGTTATATTGCAAGACATCTGAAACAATAAAATTTAACTACTGAATCAAATAAATTAAAAACATGTTTGGTTTATCATCCTCCCCTAACAAATTGGCAAGTGCTTCATCATTCATGAAATGTGGGAACTTTATATATTATATTCATATAAAAAAGTTGCGAAAATTTTGCATCCATGTCTCCCTCAAAAACAAAGGAATTAATATTCCTTATTTTTCTCTTGTAGCATGATGAAACTTGTTCATTTTTATTACTACTTTTTTATACTTACTTAACCTGAAAGTTAGAAAATGTCAGAAAAACCATCAAATAGAGCAAAGAAATGACCAAGCACAGAGAATGTGAGAGTCTGAGAGGCACATGGGTTTATCTAATTTTCTGCTGATTCTGATTATTTTACCATAATTATTTGGATTTGACAACTAACATCAAATATTTTTCTTTTCTTTTTGGTCTCTGCTAGAGAACCGTTTAGAGTGACTTATTTTAAAATATTCTCAATAAGACATCTTTGACATTGTTTTAAATTTATGTAACTAACTAACTCCATTTAAAGAGAATAAGGAAAAGACTTAGGTTGTTAAAGTTGTTATTGTAGGTCCATAAATTGCTTACAACATTGCTTTGATTTATCAAGTATAGACACTTACACTTACACAGACATCAAATACGGTATTGACATTGATATGTTGACTTTGATAATAATTTTAAAAAAATGAAAAAATTTGAATGTAATTGGTACTATAAAAGTTTTAATACATGTCTAAATGTATAAGATATGTTAAAGAAAAAAACAATTTTTGTAAAAATATGTCTGAATTGTCTGACACATGTTGTACGAGTGTCATATAAAATATCGATTTAAAGAGTGTCAAAACAAAACAAATTTTTTATTTATATTTATCTATTTTTTTGACACGTGTCGTACGAATATTATATAAATTTTTGATAAGCTCAAGACACTTACTACTTATTTATTCTGTTACTCTTTTTGCTCAGTTCAGAAAATTATTGTTAGTGAAGTCAGTTATAAATATTACCACAAGAATAGCTACAAATATTAATTAGTTTAAAGCATATTCAATGTTCTTGTAACCAATTACAAGAAAGAAAGTGAAATGGCCACATGGGAGAACTTAAAAAAAAATAGAAAAAGTTATATATATATAGTTACTAGTAACAATCAAATAGTACATAAGCACATGAGAAATGAATTGAAGAGCACTCCAAAATGTATTGGAAAAGTGTATAATATGATATTCACTGAAGCCAAAAAGTTAGAAGAATACAATAAAGATAAAATAACAAAACTTAGAGAAATGTTATGTTGGTCCCTACATTTCCCTTCAACTAGTATCCCACACAGGCTGTTAAAGGAAACCAAATAATGCAAAGTTTTGATGGGTCACATGCTCTTTTGCAAAGCAAACTGACACCACACATGCCATTGTCTCCCATTTGCACATGCATGTGCTGACTGTTCCCTAACACTCCCACCACTTATTAACGGATCTCGATCCTCTCACACTCGCACTTAACGGTCTCGCCTCGATTGTTAATCTGAGATCAGATGGTTCACGTTCACTTTAAATAATTTTAGTTGTTAACTTGTGATTGCGCGACATAATTATTGTGTTAGTCTTAAATTTGAGATTAAAAATGCATGATAGTAGAATCGTCTTTGAGGATGTATAAGACGAACTATGGCATATAATCTTCATGAAATATATGTCATTGTTAAACGTGTCTAACTAGGATCCTATTTATTTTTCAACGGTTGAATTGTGACTAACTAGCACAAGAGTCTAAAAAAAACTTAAAACAATTACGCGCAAAATCACAATCCAAAACCTTTTTCTCGTTGAATTATGCAAATGAAAAAGCTTTAGCACACTCAAACTTATAATTAAATTTCTCACAACAACTCACAAATCAGAAAGAAGAAAAGAAAAACTTAAAAAACCTATCTCTAATACTATACAAACAATTAACTTGAAGTAAAAACTATAGTTAGCACATTGAATCACATTACTTTGAATTCATGTCTTGAGCTCTTGTAGGGTAGCTTCCAAGAAAGTGCATTGCAAGTGCCTATGGCAAGTGATTAGGTGATCATTTGTTAGGCCAGCTGCCTGCATAAATGAATGAACCACTGTTGGACCAACAAACCTAAAACCTCTCCTAATCATGTCTTTGCTTATGCTTTCTGATTTTGATGTCTTCACTGGAATCTTGTGGCCAAATTTGTATTGAGTTGAGATTGGTTTCTGGTTCACAAACCCCCATATGTATTTGTCAAATGAACCAAACACTTTCTTAACTTGTAAAATTTGGTTAGCATTGTCAACAACTCCTCTAACTTTGCTTATATCAATGCCATATTCTGAACTAATACATATCATTTGTTTATCACTATAGTTGGCCACAATTTCTGCATCAAATTCTGAAAATGCAGCCCTGTACATAAATTTTAAATTATTATTAGTTCCATCAATCAAAAAAGTAACATAAAAAAATGTTTACTTTGTCTGAATATTACTTTCTTTGATCCTTAATATAAGAAATTCATTAAAAAATCAATATATCTGAACTAATAGTTCAGATATATTGATTTTTCAATGAATTTAAAAAGTAACTTTTTCTTATATTAAGGATCAGAGGGACTATTATTATATGTATGACTTTTAGCAGAATCAAACCTGAAATCTAGGCGTTTTTTCAAGGTTGAAGTCCAATCAGATCCAACTTGAGCACCACTTAGAATTAAAAGTTCAAACAACATCCTGAATTATGGACAATAACATATAGTTTTTGTTAGTCTTCATCATTTGTCTAAGCAAATTCATGTTTTCTGCAATTAGTTTATGTGCGTTTGTAGATAACCGGTACTTCATATTGTAAGCGCGTTTGATATCGACACATATTACTATTAGACACAGATTGAATATGGATTCAATATCTCATATCCGACACATATCGGTATTTGATATCAACAAAAGATATATAAATATAATTACATTAAATAGTTTGTTTTCTCAAACTATCAGAATCGACGTGTTAGTGTGCGTCTGATGTCCATGTCTGACATGTGTCCTTTCATATATTTATAATAAAGGTGTGTCTGATATCTAACATGTGTCAGTATCCGATATTGGCATGACACAAATACATGTAGTTACATTCAAATATTCGGTTTTCTCAAACTATTGTTGTCGAGGTGTCAATGTGTGTGTCTGAGAGAGGGAGAAAAATAGGAACTTACTTGTCATCATGAAGAGGAACTCCCCATTCTTCATCATGATAAGCAATATAGATAGGATCTATTCATGAAAAGAGACATATAGATTAACATAAAGAGAAAGCAAAAAAGGGTATATAAGAATTTGTATGAAATGATTTACTAAAAAATGACCTGAATTGGCTGTGATAAAGCTGCACCTCTTCTCCTCTTCATTACTAGTCTTTAAATGAAGAGCAGTTGAAGGATCAATAGGGAAAACTCTTTCGAATTTGGCAGACTTTGATCTTCCATAATGAGCAATCTTCATTTTCCTTTGTGCCTGTTGAAGTGCCATCTGTTCCCTTCTCCCTGCAGCTATACTTCCTGGAGAATCAGTGATCAAAGAGGAAGAATAACTCAAAGAAGCCTCAACACCATAAGACCCTTCTTTGAAACTCTTTGATTTCTTTCTCTCTAAACATGGAGTTTTCATTGTGTTTTTCGGTATAACAATCTTTTCACAACTCGAGTTCATTCCATTGTTATCATTTCCTCTCTTTATCGCTAGGAATGGTCTAGTAGGAGATTTTGGTTTTGGAGAAATTGGTGGTGATGATAATGAAGTCTTGTTTGGAAGTGGTGGTGAAGAAAGTTTTTTCATTGAGTTTCTTCTTTCAAGAACATGGTTGCATGTTGGTTGAAGTACTTGTCTTCCATTGATTCTAGAAATGACATGAGGAGGTGTTGTGGAAGATTCAATGACTATAGTTTCTTTAGCCTTAGAGCTACACATGATGAAAAGAGAGAGAGATTGGAGGGAGAGGGAAGAGAGGGATGTGAGAGGTTTTATAAAATGTAGGGAAGGTAGGGACAGTTGTAACATGGGGAGGTGGGGATCTGCCATACAACCTCTTGTGAAGGGCATTGCTTTTTGGAAACTAAACCACGAGGGATGATTCTATCATTTTTTGGACACTTTGTCAATGTGTCAATAGCTGATCAATGTCATTAAATATCATTCATAATAAAACTATAATTATATGTTGGGGTGAAAATGTAAGGAAAAAGATCAATCATTATATGGACTCTCATTCTCTTTTTCTTTATACCTATATTTATGTATGCATAAGAGTGTGGAGGGGTTAGAAAAACCACATGACATCTCTCAATAACAAACTATGGTGGTTCTTGGGATTCAAATGGAGCTTCTAACTTTACCTTATAGTACAAATTTCTCTCTATTTTTTGCTCTTTGACTTTTCTTTTCTCTCTATTTTTTCTAAACAAAGTTTTATATGTTTTTGGCTTAGTGGTCCTAGACAATATGATGAAAGATATTATATTCAGATTAATTAATTTGGTTTACAGGTTGGTTGATTACTTCTTATTTGAATACCAAACTTGTTCATGTGCCTAGATGTCTATAGGCCATCATAGGTAGACAAATAGTTACAATCTTTTATATATATATATATATATATATATATATATATATATATATATATATATATATATATATATATATATATATATATATATATATATATATATATATATATATATATATATATATATATATATATATATATATATATATATATATATATATATATATATATATATATATATATATATATATATATATATATATATATATATATATATATATATAAAACCATGTTTAAGTTTTCAAATTGAGATTCTTTTGAAAAAAATACCAATTGAATATATACAAAATTGTAGGTGTTCATTGTACCAAAAATAAAATTAAATTTGTAGGTGTTCAACAGCTATTTTCTAATACAAATTTTAAAATAATTTTAAAAATGGTAAGATTACATTATTAGTCCTATTTCATTAGTCAATTTAATTCTTAAATTGTTGTGAATGGATGAATATGAGTGCTTTTTTTAAAATAAAAAAAAAGTTACTAAGTCATTTCAAAATATTAGTTTTTCTTGTTATTTTGAAAATCAAGACTTCAATAAAATAAATTAGAAGCATTACAAATGGATTCTACAAAGAAATCAAGAGGGGCAGAAAAAATCTTAGATAGAAATTAACCTAACACAAAATTTTATAAAAAGTTAATTTTCAATAATTTTTTTTAATAAAAAAAAAATGTGTTAATTAAAAAATAAAATTTTCTCTCTCATTTTTAATCAACACCACCACATTATTTCAATTAAAAATAATTTTAAAATTTGATTTAAAATAACCTTATTGATTATTTTTAAAAATATGGATATAAGTGTTTCTATGAAATAAAAATTTCAGAGGGACATGCCACATCCAAACCTTGAAACATACCACTTAAGTGAGAACCATAATTCTCCTTGCATTTCAACCAGTCACATAGCAATTCTAGAACATGAATTTGGACTTTTAGGGGAAGCAAACCAAGCCATTTATTTTGACAAAGCATAAATAAATAGATGTTTGTTTCTTTTCTCTTCAGTGTGGCACACAGGAAAACAAATATCAATAATCAAACCTTTCTTCCATAGGTTTTTCTAATTGCCAAAGAAATGGTAGGCCGACTTCACAAAGTATATCCCATTCTTTTCTCCTAGCCACATTAGTTTATCTTCCAAATTTCTAAGGAAAAGAGAGATACTCCTTATTTTTTAAGGTTTCAAATGGTTTGAACTAGGGGAAAATGATATTTCTCTTACATGGAAATTTTACCTCATACCCGGTCACTTATACCCATATTTTCACATTTTTTTTAAAAATACCTATTTTATCCTTATATATTTAATATTTTATTATTTTATTTATTTTGTATATTTTTAAGAGTTCCAATCTAACTGTCTACCGGAAGATTTCAAAAATGACCTCCGGTAGGTTTTTTTTTTCCAAACCGGAACACATATATAAAGAGATTCGGAATGCAAAAATAATATACCGGAAGACTTCAGAAAAGACTTCCGGTAGTGTAATTTGTGTGGTGCTCACCGGAAGTCTTCATCAAAGAGTTCCGGTAGTGTAATTTGTGTGGTGCATACCGGAACTCTTTGATGAAGTCTTCATGTACGTGTTTCCAAATTTTTTTTTAATTTTTTTAATTTTAATTTTATTTTTTATTATTTTATTTTTTATTTTTTTATTTTTTTTATTTTTTTAAATTTTTTGTTTTTATTTTTTATTATTTTTAATTTTTTGTTTGAATTTTTTTTATGTAATTTCAGAAATTCCTTTACAAATATGTGATAAAGATCAGATATGCGTAGATACGTCTGATGTTTTTTCAACAACTCAAAGATTTGGTACACGAGAAGAGGTAATAAGATGGATTAAAGAGATCGGAATTCGAAATAAAGTTACGGTTATCATCACTCGTTCAGATATTAAAACAGGCCAGAGAGGAAGAAGTAACAAATTAATATTTGGATGTGATAAAGGAGGAAAACACATAGATATTGATAGTGGAACCCAGAGTGCGACGAAAAAATGTGAATGTCCATTTAGAATCAGATCAATTCCAGCGACTGATGGATCTGGATGGAAGATTGATGTAAAATGTGGAGTTCATAACCATGGTTTACCTGATAGATTAGAAGGTCACGCATTTGTCGGTAGGTTGACAGCGGATCAGAAGCAACATGTTGTTGATTTGACAAAGAGAAAGGTTCCACCTAGACATATATTGCTTTCATTGCAAGAGCAAGATCCAAATAATGTCACTCGGATCACGCAAATATACAAACAGAAGAGTATGATAGAAAAAAAATATAAGAGGTCCTAGAAGTGAGATACAACATTTGTTTAAGCTCATTGAGGAAGCAAGTTATGTTTATTGGAGTAGAAAAAGAGATGACTCTGAAGTAATTAGAGATATCTTTTGGGCTCATCCAGATTCAGTTAAATTGTTGAATATTTTTCCTATTGTGCTAGTTATGGACAACACTTACAAGACAAACAAATATAGGCAACCTCTGTTTGAAATTGTTGGCATGACATCAACCGAGTTGACTTTTGCTATCGCATTTGCCTATATTGAGTCTGAGCAAACTGAGACTTTTTGTTGGGTGCTAGATAAGCTTAAACAATTGTTTGTGAAGAAAGATTTGTGTCCACAAGTGATTTTGACAGATAGAGATCTTGCTTTGATGAAAGCCATTGAAATTGTGTTTCCAAGGTCGATCAATATGCTATGTCGATTTCATATTAACAAGAATGTTGGTGCAAAACGGAAACAATATGTGGCTAGTGAAATGCAAAAGAAAATTGACGATTTATGGACGGATGTTGTATGGGCTAGTGATGAGGTTGAGTATGATCAAAGGTTGAACCAACTTGAGCAGGCGTGTGTTGATTGTAATAAATTTATTGATTATGTGAATGACACATGGTTGGCACCACATAGACAAAGATTTGTTGGAGCATGGATTGATCGAGTGCTACATTTGGGTAACACCACGACTAATCGGTATGTATTTATTTTTAGTATTTATAAATTGTATTTTATTTTGAATTTTTTAAAAATATTTTTAATCTGTATTAATTTTAGGGTTGAGTCTGCTCATTGGAAGTTAAAGCAAATGTTGGGGAACAATATTGGTGACATGGTCAAATGTTGGGAGGCTATGAATGACAACTTAAAGTTACAATTGGGTAATATTAGAGCTTATTTTCAAAAGAGTTTTTATGAAATTGAGCATGCCCACGTAAGTCCATTTTACAATAATTTACGTGGTTCAGTATCTTGAGATGCATTGAGACGCATTGCTGAAGAGTTAAAATGAGTTGATTATGTTGGAACTAACAAGGAAATATGTCGTTGTACTCTTAGAACAACCTACGGATTACCTTGTGCTTGTGAGTTGACAGGATATAGAATTGATGGTATACCGATACCAATAGATGCTGTACATGTTCATTGGAGAAAACTAAGTATGGAAGTTAAGTTGGATGAAGACGTAGATGATGGATCAGAGGTGGATATGAGTAGTGCAATAGATGAGTTATGGAAAAGGTTTAAGTCACTGGATGTTGTTGGGAAAAGGGCATTAAAAAGTAGGGTGTTTGAACTTGCCTTCCCTACAATGACTTCTATGTGTCCACCACCTGAGAAAATAAAAACTAAAGGGGGAGTCAAGAAGAAAGACAAAAAACCAGTAGGATATGATGTTTATAGAGACCCTTCTTATCACGAGTATATTGATCAAGCATCTCAATCTTCACAGATGCAATCGCAACCATCACAAACTTCGAAGAAGTTGAAATTATCACAGTCTTCACAAAAGAAATCTCAACCATCACAAGCTTCGAAGAAGTTGAAATTATCACAGTCATCTAAGCAGTTCATCCTTCAGTTTCCTAATCACATTCGGTCATATATTGATGATGTAGTTAATGTTGTATCGGATGGTAATTGTGGATTTAGAGTCATTGCTTCATTGCATGGATTGGGTGAAGATGGTCGGTCAATGATTCGTCGAGATTTGGGGTTGGAAATAATACATAATGAAAGATCAAGTTTGTATGCCAATTTATTTACTGATCAGTTAGCAGTGGTGAGAGAATCTTTGATGATAGAGGAAGTCGGTTCTCAACCACCACATAAATGGTTAACTCTACCAGATATGGGTTACATGATAGCGAATCGTTATAATGTTGTACTTGTCTGTTTAGGAATTGAATGCTGGACTTTCTTCCCTATGACAACTTCATTTTCACCGAATGCAGTAATTTACTGCATTGGTTTTATAAATGGAAATCATTGGGTTCAGGTACTTAGTTGTTTTTTTGATAATGCGATTAACCCTAAATATTTTTCTTTATTTTTTA